TATAGGTGAGATAACATTTCGACTGGCATCCAAAGATGCACAGAGCTTCTTGCAGCGTCTGACAGCAATGGCTTTACTGAGAAGGGAACAAAATATGCACAAGGCGTTGACACCGGGCATCTTTTGTATAAAAGAATTCCGTGCTATTATGGACTGCCCCCAATTCCAGGGCTGTGCAAAGTATCCACTGCAGTTTGCCTTTTGGAAAATGCTGCTTAAGATCCATGCCAAGTTACTCCACTGTGGCACTTTGTTAGGAAGGTGGTCTCTATGTAGCGAGAGGTTTAGAGCTTTTCTACACGAGCTGATTAATAAGATGTTAATCCACGGTTCCTGCTTTTGGCTTCATAACAGAACTGAGGTCTGAGTGCACCAAAAGCAGGATTTGCTTTCCTGCTTTCCCAGTACAGGACTATACTTAGGTCACACTAGGTATAGTCACATGGCATAAATGCACAAAAGGAAATTGCAGTTCCTTTTGGTTTCTTAGTTAAATGCTGCCTTTTTCCTGCCCCCTAAACACACACACACAACAAAACAGGCCCTGGTGTAAGGGCTTGTTCATTGCAGAAAAAAACCATGAGTAGGGAAGGACAAGCATATGTTGAGAGCCTTATGTAGAAACCCCTTATAAACCAGGATTCTGGCAGCAGGAAATTGGGTAAAGCAATTCCTGAAATGCAGAACCATTTCTAATATTTCTAAATTGTTGTACTTATTCCAAAAAAAATGATGCACAGAAAGGATTTCTCTTGCTTCTTTCTGCTCAAGAATGTTTACTTTTCCACAGCATACTGTGGGTAAAAATGTGTTTTTGGGTATTTCCTGTGTTAACATTGAAACTGCCTCTCAGAAACTGATTCATTTTTCCAGTGAAAGCACTTGCGGATTAGCGTGTGATTTGAACAATTAGTGGGTGCCGTGTTCTCTGTTGCAACAAAAGGACTCGTTGTGGCCCCTTAAAGACTGACAAATTCATCATAGTATAAGCTTTTGTGGACCAGAGAATAAACTTCATCAGATGCATCAACCATAATCCCAAACAGTCAGGCATATATGTCATATATGCCTGCCATATATGTGGCTGGGGTGATGGAGAGATGTGAACTCAGGGGGAAACACAACACTAAATGGAGAGTGACAGTGATGAAAAGGTAAAATAGCTATACAGACAGTGCACAAGGTAATGGTGATGATGATACACATCCTAGCCTTGGTGAGCTAATTAACTCATGTAACGTGATAAAAATCCAAAATCCTGATTCCGACTACAGATGACAGAACTGAATCTTAGTTGCAACAGCCAAGTCAAGGCATGCTGTCAGGGAGCAGGAAAAGTGTGTTCCCATAAGCACCAGTCCTGTTCCTATCCTGCATAGCTCTGCTGCCCCGGCTTGTGATTCTCAGTCACCCTAAAGCACGACAGGAAATTTTCCCGTACTCGCTTGTGTTGCATGCGCCTTCTTTGCAGGCGTCGTGGCCACGCTGGGTCTGGATGTGTGCTCCGACAGAGATGCTCTCAGGAGTCATCTCCGTAAACAAAGACGACATGGTTTCACCTCAGTAAGTCATGCAATAAGCCTCCAAAATGGCTTTATTGCAGTGCGATGTCCTGCTTATCTATTTGGAACACTTTTCCTGTGTATCAGGAAAAGCAAACGCAATTAGAACAATACACTGTTATTACATTTCCAAAAATAACTAAAGCTGCAATCTGGTATGTGCAGAAGAGAAGGTGAAATGCAAGAATAAAGGGTGGGTGTTTATTGTCAGTCTAATCCAGCCCACACTTTTGATCGAATCTCATTTCACTGGACTTCCTGCCCTACAACAAAGTATTGATTGAAAAGGATTTTAAATGTTGTATGCCCTTCTTAAACTCATTTGAGCTGATAAAGTAGATAATAGAAAAATAGATTTACTTTATGTTTCTATAATATAAGGTTCTTGAAAAGTCATGTATTACAGAAAACACAGCATCTCCTAATTCATCAGTTAAGCAAAAGAAAGATACAGTTATTAAATGAATTTAAATCTTGGGATCATTTACTTTTGTTTGTTTATTTCCTGGACTTTTAAGATGCTTTTCATTTTTTTAACCAAAGCAAAAGTATTAAATCAAATATTATATTCAATAGCACAACACTAACAATTAAGCATCATATTAAATAGTCTCAAAGATTCATTTCAAGATCCAGAGAAAATGTAACACCTCTGGATAAAATATCATTCATGTTGTCTTTAGGATGCAAGCAGAGATTACATTCCCACTTAGTAAAATCTAAATCTTGAGAAGTATGCTTGCTTACTAAGGCCCCTGAAATTGGAAGTTTAGTTCTTTGGAGTCTTTAAGATGGCACAGTTCATTAATTGGTTTCTCATGCCCAAAATGTACACCTGGAATGATATCAAGTTAGCTCCTGGGTTTTGCCCAGCTTTCTCCAATCTAATGCACTCTAGATGACTGGACTACAATTCCCAGTACCCTTCAGCCAGGACTGCCATGCTGGCTGAGCTTAATGAGGGTTACAGAGTACAATGCATCCAGAGGCCTCCAGGCTGGGGAAGGAGGAATTAGCCCATTGGATGCAATCCAGCATGAGAAAGAAATGGCACCCAAAGCAGAGCCATGTGCCCAAAGAGGCAGGATTGTCTGGATGGGGGGCGGGGGGGGGAGTTCTCAGTAGCTCTCAGGCAGTTCCATGAGTTGAAGTAAGCACAGTGCAATCAGGCATGCGTTGGAGGAGAACTTGCCCCAGACCCCAATCCCTTAGTGAACACTTTTGGACCTCCACTCCAACAGGTTTAGCAGATCACTTTCACTTTTCCCATATAAGTGAAGAACTGGTGATCAGATAATTGCTCTGTGGAGACCATGTTTGCAGCTTAAGGTCTTTGCAGGGCAGGAGGGGAAAAGAAGGGGTGGCTCTGAGAATGCACCCACATGTACTGTGAAAAGAATGATGTGTGTAATAAGATTTCTTTAGCAATTGCTCTACAGTGCAATCTTATATGCATGTCTACTCAGAAGTAAATCCCACTGAATCCAATGGCACTTACTTCCATGTAAGTGGGTTTAGGATTGCAGTTGCTCTTTATGTAGGTTTCTCACAGAGCAATCCTATACATTGATATTTTATTTATTTGTTACATTTATATCCTGCCTTTCTTCTGAGTTGCCCAATGTGCATGTTTCTTATCCTGCTTTGCACGTTATCTGCACTATGATCCTGTGAGATAGTTCAGGCTGAGAGTGAGTTACTGGGGCAAATCACCCACTGGAGCTTCATGACTGAGTGGGAACCAGTGCCTGGACCTCCCGAGTCCCAGTCCAGCTCTCTCATACAGGCTACACCACACTGGCTGTCTGCTGAAAAGCAGGTCCCACAAAATTCAGTGAGGCTTACTTGCAGAAAACTGAACAGAGGTGTCCCCATGTAAACTCATTGCTTGTGTCTTCTTCCTCAAAAAACACAATTTACATGCAAAAATTATAGGCAGACACTGGCTTTATGTCTGACATTTTCACTTGCTTACTTAACATTAATCACTTTTCTGATTTCAGTATAAACAGTCTCATTCTTCTTTGGTACAGGAGCTAGAAAATGTATCAGTAAGGGATCAATTACTTTGGGCAGGGGAGGGGCATGCTGTGTTTCGGCATTTATTTGAACCAGAAGAAATGGCCACAGAATTAGAATGCCTTTACCATTGGAATAGACCCTACCTTGTGAACAAATACAGTGGTACCTTGGCTCACAAACTTAATCCGTTCCAGGACTCTGGTTGTGACCCAAATTGGGTGTGAGCCAAGTCAAATTTTCCCATAAAGTTCAATGTAAATAAGGTTAATCCATTCTGTAACTATTTTTTTTCAATCACAAAAATTTGAAGCAGGCGTGCTGGGAGTGGGGGACAGGCACGATCGCAGGTGCGCTGGGGGGGAGGCAGGCACGATCTCGATTGTCACTCAATGCGGAGTTTGCGACCTGAGGCAAAAATTTTCAGTAATTTCTGTTCACGACCCAATTTGGTTGTGAACTGAGGCGTTTGTGAGCTGAGGTACCACTGTACAACATTTTGCCATAACTAAGTTGAAATTTAGTTTTCTGACTTTAAGAAAATGAAGTTGATGCATAAAGCCATAATTTCCTTCCTGTTTAACTATTTAATTTCCTCCCTATTTCCTATTTAACCCAGTTAAGGCTATATAGAAGACAGCCCTTCGTGCAGGACCCGCAAGGCCTTTTGGCCTACGGCTCCCATCATCCCTCACCTCAGGCTGTGCTGGCTTGAACTGATGGGAGTGGTAGGTCAAAACATCTGATAGAGCACAGGTTGCTCTTGCCCATGAGAAGGGTGTGTGGAGGAAACCTGTGAGTGTTCGTGAACGAGGGAGCAGAAGGCTTGTGAGAAAAGCACCAAGACAAGTCTGGCATTGTGCACTCTGTAGCTGACAAATGGAAACATGTGCTAGTTTAATAAATTTGATCAATGTTTCCTTCCAAAAATAATCCACCCAGATGAACTTCTGGGGAAGCCCACAGAGGTACATGACAAGACTTTACCACAACGGTGCTGCTGAACCTTTGGTGCACTGCTTCACAGAGATTATTCAACACATCCTGGTGTTAAGCAATTCTGCATAGTCTCATATATTTCTTATCTCTTTGCAAGCATTTGAGACTGGCTTTATCAGTAATCATTGTCTCTGTGCCTGTCAAGAATAAAAACACTATTTACACCTAACTTTCCTACTTTTTCCTCCTAAGGATGGCTGGGGATGTCTTCTCTAACAAGGAACATTTTTATATAGGCAGTAAATCCCCTGCCAGGACTTTCTTCTGCACAAAATATTATGTGGGTAACACTGAAAAGATCTTTCAGGTACCTGCCCTTTCCAGTCACAAATTCCACATGAAGAAAGGAAATGACACTGGACAGAAACTCATCTTAGCAACTAAATTGCCCATTAATCATTTCATATTGCATGTGTGAGAGAGGGGAGGACCATAATAAGTGAGCCAACTCCTTAGTAATCCCCACTTAGGTGGTGTTGGTGGAGATTGTTCCATGGCGTGGACAGCCTATGACATGACTCGAAGTTTGCATCCAGCCTGGGAGTGACACATTTGAGCTAGGAAAAAGGAAATGTGCTGGCATGGTAGTCTGAAGGATATTTAACCTTGTAAGGCTTTATGTTTAAAATATCCTATGAGATCATCACAGCTTTCTATAGCACGGGAGGCACAGCATGGGTGCATGTAGAGTCCCTTCATAGTCACACAGCATTTGCAGAAACTGACCTGGCATGATCCTGCCTAGCTTATCCACCACTCAGGATGCCAACTATGATTTCAGTTGGTTTAGGTGCACATAACTCAGGATCAGGCCTAGCTGAAAAGCAATGAAACTGAAGTGCACCGTCCGTGCTGAGACCCCCCTCCCTGCTCTGACATGGCAGCTCAGGTAGCTGCATTGCAATGGGATCTCAGCCAAGGGAGGCTCAACTGCAGGTCGGAAACAGAAGGGCTGCATTCCGGCTTTGAGCACAATTCCAAGGTAAGGACAAGGCGTCAGCAGTCACCCATGCAGCAAGGACATTTCAGATGTTGGGGACAGTCTAGATGAGTGAGGAAGGATTGCGCAGCAGCATTCAGAATCCTGTGTCATGCCATTCTGTTTCCATTTTGTTTCACTGGCACAAATACTATTGTCAGAAACAAGGAGCAGCTTAGGACAGCCTCCCATCTTCACACTTCCTTAATGGCCAGGTATGCAACACAAGGATATAAAGCAGAGATCGAGTTCCTAGGGCATAATCAGGATGGGGAACGCTACTTCCTCCTTTGTGACATCACCATGGAGCACGATCGGCTGCACTAGAATCCACTGCTAAGGAATGTGCAAAGTGGCTGCCTGAGGATATGCGCTGACACTGTCTGGGCATGCATGGTAAAGTGCCGTCAGTGTTTCCCCCTGTCCTTTTTAAGGGTGGCATTTAAAAGTGGGGCTTTCCTGTAGCCTGTAGGTTGACTTACTTGCCTAATCTACTCATTGTTTAAAAACATTAATTGCCCACAGATACCCACCAATGAAATATATTTTGCACCACGTGTCCCCTTCTTTTCTGGACCTACTGGAACTTGAGGAACTGTTGTGGGCACTACCACAAAATGGCCTCCACACTGGACATTGCCGATCATCTAATGGCCGCTGTGGTGGCCTGGCTAGTGAAAAGTGAGCTAAAGTGGGGGGAGAAATAGGAGGCTAGAAGCTGGGAGGGGGGAAAGCAAGGCAAAGAGTCAGAAGAGAGAGAAGGAGCAAAGCTAGAGGCTGGGGTGGGGGAGAGAAACAGAGAGCTGAAGAGCTGGGGGGCAATTGTGAAGCTGAAGCTCAGGGGGAAGAAGGAAATAACAAGTCAAGAGACTATAAAGGGAGAAAATGAAGGCTGCCTCAAGATGTGCCAAGGTTTTTCTTAAAACTATTTTTAAAGGGGTCAGGGAAGAGAGCGTTTCATGGTGTCACTGCAGATCCCCACAGCTGCTTATGCGTTCTTTGCAATCAACACAATGTGAACTACTCTGTGGGGAGGGCAGTGGACATTTTGAGCACTGGAAGCCCTATGGCATTGCCTCATCTCCTTTCCAGACACGGCTGTGTGCAGGTGGCCCTTCTGTCTGATGAGCGGAACAAAAAGGGTATACGAATGAATAAACAATCTAGAAGGAACACCTGCAAGCCCTTGAAGCAGAGGCTTTGTTTCTTCCTGTTTACTGGTGTGATTTGACAGTTGAAGGCCTATTCCTGCCCTTTCTGAAGTGATCTGCAGAATTACGCAGCCATCACTCAACAGGGAGGCTCCCGCTATACCTGTTGCAAAAGTGCATAAGCCAGCACAGTCATTACCTCTATAAGGGTTGCCAACCGACACTTCCACTTCAGTATATCCCACCTCGGAATTCTCAGAGTCAGGACCTGCCCCAAAATAGCAAAAACAGGTTCCTTTGAATAGAACTTTCAACCTGCTAAGGAACTGCATTTGCTGTCCCTGGAGCAAACCAGTCACACTCCCAGCGGCTTTAATGAGTACAAAAACAAGGCATGTGTTTATCACATTTGAGTGCTGATTCACAGACTGGAGCTTTCCTCCCATCTGTTTTGGAATGAGTTCAACAAACTCCTCCATCAATGCCCAAAAGAGACCAAGAAAGTTGGAGAAACGGGTAAGGACTGGCTTTCTCCATGCATGAGGAGAGGAGGAAGGCAAGCCATGGTACATGGACTTTCATCAGGACCGGAATGGCACTACAACACTCCTTTCAAGCAACAGTACTTCACCCAAGCAATGCCCCCCATTCTGCTTCTGACAGCAAGGGTAGTAAGTTTACCAAGGCTCCTCTCTTCCTCCTCTCCAGAATTACCTGAAGGAGCGCTTACATCCGTATATGCCCGACCACGCCTTGAGATCAGTGGGAGAGGCCCTTCTCCGGGAACCCTCCGTGAAAGAAATTAGGAGGGTAGGTACTCGGAGGAGGACTTTCTCTGCGGTGGCGCCCAATCTATGGAATGTGCTCCCCAGAGAGGTCCGCCTGGTGCTGTCGTTATTTGTTTTTCGGTGCCAGGTGAAGACCTTTTTATTTAAACGTCATTGTAATTGTTAACAATATTTACTTATTTATCTGGCCAGGGCAACTTCTTTTCTTTACTTCTTTTCTTTTATAACATTTCTTTTATAACTTCTTTTATATCTTTTATATTTTTTATTTATTTTATATTATTAATTTTAATTTTATATTGTTATTTTTGTATTGTATTTTATTGTGTTGTAAGCCGCCCCGAGGCTTCGGCAAGGGGCGGCATAGAAATGTTCTAATAATAATAATAATAATTATTATTATTATTTCAGGGAAAGCCATGAGTTGCATGGTTTGCTGGAATGATAGAATGCTTTGCATGTTGTGACTAAGAGGTTGATCAAGATTAGTTACAAAACCAGTGACTGCCTTTCTCCAACAAGCATCTGGGCCACTATTTTGTGTACTAGCTGGAGCTTCCAATTAATCTACACTGGTTGCCCCATGTGAAGTGCACTGCAGTAGTCTAGTCCGGAAGTGAAGAGAGCATGATAATTAAGGTGGGACCCCTTGCATCCAGATAGGGGAGGAGTTGGTACACCAGCCTGAGCAGGTACAAGGCAGTCCTGCCTATTATAGCCACCTGGGCTCCCAGATAGCCACAGTCCAGGAGGACCCTCAAGCTGTGCACCTGGTGTTTCAAGGGGAGAGTAATTCCAAGCTGACCAAATATCTCTGTCCTGACCTGCTGGCTTTCCACAGCATTTCCATCTTATCCAGAATAAGCTTCAGCTTGTTTGTCCTCGTCCATTCCAATACAGTCTTTAGCCCCCTTGTCAGGAATTCCACAACTCTCCTGGGCACTACCACAAAATGGTTGCCATGAAATATGTGGCAAAGGACAAGTAACTTGCCCCAAAAACTGAGCATAAAGCAAAGGTGGGGCTTGAGTCTCAGTACACTGAACAACTTGTTTGATCAAGTTTCAGCAACAACAGAAACCCAGCTGCTGATCATTAACATAAAAATGGGAGGGGTGGTGGATGCCAAGTATTTGGGGGCACGCTGGTGCCCAAGGGCATTATGCTGCTTCCCCTGTGATAGACTAAAGTCTGCTTTTTCAAAATTCACACAATAGTAGGCAATTAATGGCATGTTGAAATTTATCCTTGGGATAGATACAAGTAGAATGAAGCCACTTCAAGCTGAACAAAATAGCATCTCTGTTCTAGTCTTCCAAAAAGTTAACCTTCTGAAAAGTTAGAAACATGCTTGGAAATGAAAAAGCAAGAAATTACCTTTATTATCCTCTTTTGATTTTATGTGATTTGTTTCACCATCTTCATTATAACCAGATCCTAAAAAGTGAAAATGAAAAGAGGTGAAGCATAAAATTAATTCGTAGATTTTTTTTTTAAAGGTACTTCTCCCCTTTAAGTGTAATATTTGGTCTAAAATGTGCCGATCTGACCTCACAGCTCCTGAGGCACAAGGTGAACCTGCCGTTCTTTTCCCTGCTTGCCTTGCCCTGTCCTGCCCCACTGCAAATCCCTCCAGAGACAGGCTGGCAAGCCTTGCCTCCTGTGTGTTTCCTGTTTTTGTGCATAGGCTGATTCCCTTATTCTTTTTGCTCAGCCCTTTTCTGCTTTCCTTTGGCTCCTGTAGACCAGCACAATTCTTTATGCTTTTGACATTACAATTGAGTAATGAACTTAACTCTGGTCAAGGCTGCTGAGGTTTGGCCAGCTTGACATTACAATGGTACCTTGGCTCACGAACGTAATCCGTTCCAAGACTCTGATCGTGACCCAAATTGGTCGTGAGCCAAGTTAAATTTCCCCATAAGGGTCAATGTAAATAAGGTTAATCCGTTCTGCAACTATTTTTTTTAATCAGAAAAATGTGACGCCAAGTGACAAAGAACAACAAAGGTTGTGGCCATGTCCCTGCCCACCCCAGCACGACCGTGATCGAGCCCATCATCCCTGCGCGCGCCCGTCATCCTGACGTGCTGGGGTCGGGGGGAGAGACGGGCGTGAACGCGAGCGCACTTGCGGGGGGGGGGGGAGGCGGGCATGATCGTGCTGAGGGGGGGAGATGCCGAGATCGCGGTTGCACTCCTGCGGGAAAGATGGGCGCAATCACGGGTGCGTTCCTGCAGGAAAGACGGGGGAGATGGCCGCGATCTGGGACGCCATCCAATGCGGAGTTCATGACCCGAGTAAAAATGTTAATGAAGTTTTTGTTTGCGACCCGATTTGGTGGTGAACTGAGGCGTTTGTGAGCTGAATTGTATTGGTTTTCCATTTTAGATTTCATTTTAGCAGCATGCAAAGCCAAGTCTAACTGTACATGATTGGTACATTCAACCCAAGACAAGAATGCCATACAGTCATGCCCAATTATTGCATCATACTATGCAACTGAGAGGTTCCCAGCCCTCCTTGGTCTCATGCACTATTTATCCCTACTTTTCGGATGATACAGTAATTTATTGTGTCAGCTGAACCACCATAATCAGATGGTTCCTGCTAATGATTTTCCTCTGAAGTCAATCTCTGGGTTCAGAAAATTATGGGTAGTGGTTAGTGATTATGTTGGGTTCAAATGATCATGGTAAATCATATCTAAAGCATTTAAAGGGTGGGGGAAGGATTCAAGCAGGTAAGGAACAGACAGAGGGGAGGGATGCTTTTTAAGCCCACAGAGATGCTTCTAATCATCACAGTGTAGTCTGAGGTGAAACAGGAAGCAAGTACATTGGTTAGATCTCGCCTGGGATTTTTATTTAAATTTAAGTAATATTGTTACCAGGTGGAGATTATCTGTCTTAGCTCAGCTACATGATGTCACCCAGGAGATGTCCAACTCTAACTGGGGATGGGAGTCGTAAAAGGCCCCCAAAGGACCCACCTGGGCCTGCCTCCTGCACTTCTTTGAAAGATGCTGAAGACACCTGCAGATGCTGCAACACCTTCATACACTTAGGAAAACCGGGATTGCATGAACTCCCCTGACTGTCAGCCAGTGGCCTTTCCTGCCTGGGATGATGAGAGTTGTGGTTCAATTCCCATGATCCTAGGCACTTCTGCAAATGTACACAGGAGTTTGAAATGAACAAAAAGGGTGTAAAACCCCTTACAATTTGCAAAACCTCAGTGGTTCAAGAATGCAGCTTTAAAAGTTCACCAAACCTCCTGTTACACCTGTGATTACCTACTCTTTGCAGTACTGTCCATGTTCCTATGCGGTACTGTAACATGTTGGTCACTGCCCATTTTGTTTGAAAAGTAGAAGATGGCCTCTTTTTGGATATTTTAATAAAAGTCCTTCACTTGGGCCATGGTCTGAATAATGCCCTAGTTTAAAAGGCGGTGGTTCCAGATTGCTTCGGCCGCAGCAAGGTATAGAAATGAAGTCAATAATAATAATAATAATACCAAGACCTTTTTTTCAAAACAACAACACTGAAATAGACATAGAAAAAGAAAGAAAGTAATCAAATATAAGCTACCATAATAGAATTCCCCTTCATTGTTCTGTACTGATGTCAGCTTCTCAGGCTTGGACCTATAAAGAAAACAGATCAAAGAACAGAATATGGGAAAGGGAACATTGATGCTTTGGCAATAGAAGTTCTGGTGTGACACAAAGGAAGTGTTGTCTAAAGAATCACTTAGCATTCAAGGTTACTTATAAAGCTATGTACTCTTCAATAGCAAACCCACTTACCACCCACTGCCACGGCATCCCCATCAATTATAATCTAGGCTGCCTGGATTTATGCAACCAGCCTGCTTTTCTTTGGAAGTGTAGACTGACATAAAACACACAAACGTCCCAGATTTTCAGACACTTAAAAACCAAGTTGTTGTTTTAAAAACATGTTTATATACATCTTCATATGCGGCCTTGGGGGCACAGTGGAGCCTCCAATGTGACTCACAAAATACAATAAAAACAGTAATGATTCAAAGTAAAATGGCAGAAGCAAACTAAGGCCCTTCTTCCCGGGCTCTGCCAGCTCTCTCCTGCCACTTTAAAATGCCCCAGCAGACTCAGGTGACAAGTCACAGCCAAAGCCGGGGGGTCCCAAGAAGACAATAAGCTATTTTTGCATGCGTGTGAATGCATCTTTGGATTTTTACCATTACATTTGTAGGGTGAGGTTCACATCCCAGTGTCAAAATGTTTTTTTTTTTCTTGACCCATCTAACATTTTAAATTTAACTGCCTATGTTATTAGGCTATTTTCAAATCAGGAAGATTTCTAATTCCCTTAGCAGGATGTCTGCTTCAATTAGCCAATATGTCCATTGGCACAGGTAATGGACACATGTACACAAACCAGTGTTATGGATACATCACCACCATACTTGTTAGAAAAACTTCCCCATTATCAGTAGGAAACCAACCTACCTTGCCAACTCCATAGAACTCCCTTTAGCTTGATGAGGGGAAGCACAACAATACGTTACTATACTTTGCTGCATACAAAGACATAACTGTGCAAATAAGCAAACAAGGATGCAACATTCATCATTACAATGCTCCCCAGCACTGTATGAGGTCCTCCGAACCAGATGGTTCTTAGCTTAAACCTGCTTATTCCAAATAGTTTGGAATAAGTTTGCATCGTTAATAACTAGTAACCAACCCACAGTTCAGCATCATTAATAACTAGTAACCAACCCACAGTTTTTGCACATTATGAAAACAGGGATAGTTCTGAAACATCTTGGGAATGTTTAGTTGGGAACTATAACAAAGTTATAGATCAGACAAGCACAAGAATCCCTTATGGTGCGATGCTACATGTGCTGAGAAAGAAAGTCACTCCTCGAGCAAAAAAACTGTGGAATCGCATTATTTTAAGTAGACATTCATTACTTTTTTCCATTCATAAGAAGAGCCATGCCAGATTGGAGCAAGTCTAGGCTGGTCTACTGTCCTGTTCACACAGCAGCCAACCAGCTGCCCACAGGATCCCACAAGCAAGAGGTGGGTGCAACAGAACCTCCTTCCCCCGTTCCACAGCGGCTGCCGTGCACAGACACTCTGCCCCCAATACTGGAAATAACTCATAGCCATCGGAACAAGCAGCTCTATGCAAGGTTTTATGTTCCATCTCAAAGCATTACTTTTTCAAGGTTTGTAACATTGCATCCAATTAGAATATTTGAAGGAATCAGATGCATTCCTTCTGCGTATTATCTATATTATTTTGAGATATACAATCCCGGTTAGCAGTGCAGGCCATAACTAGGAGACACCATCTGAAGGATCTGAATCATCAGAAATTTGCATAAATGGACGCGCAGCTTTCACGAAATTACACCAGGAATATAGTGCAGACGTAACCCTCTCTGATGTCCTAACCATAGCTAGAAAATTAACCATACTCAACACACTCGTGTACTCTTTTCTCTTTCTTCTTGCAAATGAATTATCTTAAAGTTTTGGAGTTACACACATTGCAGCACTATGTATACACTACAATTTTAAAAAAGAATATTTAGTTCAAAATCACAGCTTGCAGCCATGGTTAGATGTGGATTTGAGCACTTTGGTTTTGAGGTAAGCGTGGCTAGAAAAAGCACCAATGCAGATAGGCAGCATGGGTAACTGAGAAAATAAAAGGCAATAAATTTTAGGGAGCAGAGTGAAGAGAAAGAGGGGAGGTGCTCCTGTGTCATGGGTTCACATGCGAAGTTTCAAGTCAATTCAAGGAACTAGAAGGTTCAGAGCAAGGTTTTATATTCATGCACGAAATAAGCTAAAAGAAAACATTTTACCTTTTTTCTTCTTAAAACAGTACCTAACCAGAACTGCAATTCCAAGAGCAAGAAGCAGCAGCAGGACAATGGTTGAAATGAGCCATTTCTTCCACGAAGCCAGAACAACTAAAATTTGGGAGAAAGGCAGGTCATGGTTCAGGTTTGACAAACAACCATCTGTCCCAGTAAAATATAGACATCTCTAGAGATGCTTAGAAGTATAAGCATAAAAAGATATGAACTCTGGAAACCATCACTCTCTTTCTATAAGACAGAAAATATTGTTGCTCCTTTGTAGTAACTCCACTGGATTCCATGCTTCTCCAGTCGTGCTAGGTTGAGGTGGATCTCATCACAGAAACTTCCACAATGTTTATCTCTCACAGAAGCATCAGCTGCCCCCTGAACTGATGGGCTTCTGGTGCTTTTTCAAAAAAGGGGGGCACAGAGCAGGTGTCAGCGGTGGGCCCTGCTGAGGTGCAAGGGCCCTGGCATTTCCCTGAGGTGCTCAGCCTGAGTTCTGCTTCCTTCCATAAAGCCTGAGCACCTCAATATTTTAGCCACAAGCACTAACTGAACCCAAGGGAAACTATTGTAGGGAAGAAGTAATTTAGGTAGGTCTAGTTTTTCCCTTCCCTGCATGGCAGAGTGCACCTTCCACATTACACAGTTCTTCAGGTGGGACTACATGTAGAAACATGTATCCTGGCATCCCCAAAATATTATAACTAGTTTTACTTTGCATTTGTATCCTGTCTTCTTTCTTCTTGTGAGGAACTCAAGGTGGCTGACAGAGCTCCACTTTATCTCACAACCCTGTGAGGAAGCCTGGGCTTCCCTCACAGAGTTCTTGTAGTTGCAAGGATAAGATTGGGGGGGGGGGGGGGCAGGGGGTTGGACCTGATTGCCTTTATGGCCCCTTCCAACTCTTCTATTCTATGATTCTGTGTAAGCTGCCTGAATTCCTTGGAAGGAAAATAGGTGGGATGTAATTGTAATAAATAATTACTTTACAGGGTCTTACAGTAGTATCCTGATAGACACTTTTGACCGAGTAGATCCATGAGCAGAACTTACCATTTACAGTCACTATCTTGCTCAATAGAGGTGATTTTGCTTGGTTGTCAGCTCTGCAATAGTATTTCCCTCCATCTTGCTTTGTGATGCCTTCTCTGTACCAAATTGCTCCACGTTTTTCAGACTGTGTGATCTGATACAATGATTTTGCACTATTTTCTTTAAAGAAGCTGAAGTTAATTGGAAAAGACCCTGAACCAACAGTGCATAAGAGTGTGAGTTCTTGGCCATCTTCCACATCCCCTTCTTGAATTCCTCCCAGGTTTATATCAGCAACTGGAGCTATGGATTTAAAAAGAAAAGAAAAAAAACAGGAATGGCTCAGTAGCCAACTTTAAACCACTATAATAGATATGCTTGCTATATGGCAAATTATGTAAGTGTTGAAGGGAAGGAAGCAGAGCAGGTAAAGTGAATGCCCGTGATCCATGACAGAATGCCTTTCTAGCCAACATGAATGAACCAAGTTTCTTGTAATTTATTTACTCCCCTCCCCCCATATAATTATTTATTTATTTATTTATTTATTTATTTATTTATTTATAAAATTTGTATGCCATCCAATTACTTATGTCTCTGGATGGCTTACAGCATAAATAAATTGATGACCCACTCTGGCTGCAAGTTAATAAAATACAATAATAAAATTCAATATTAAAACATATTAAAATATTGATTAAATAAAAAGATCTTAACCTGGCGCCGAAAAATATATAATGACAGTGCCAGGCGGCCTTCTCTGGGGAGCGCATTCCATAGTCATGGAATGACTATGGGGAGTGCATTCTATGATGGTGTGCTCATTTGCTTTATTTGTTTTGGGATGCAATCTGGTGTAAGCTTAGACAGAAAAACAGGCTATCATGCCCAGCATGCCCCAGCCAGCAGAGCTGGCTCAGGATTGTACCTTTAAGGAACTTTATGAAATCAGCACAACCGTTGAAAAACTTACAGTTTATGGTTATGATTCCAAATGATCTCAAGCCAATGATAATGTCGATGTGCTTAGGGCAGCCACATGTCCTGTTTCACTGAGGACAGTGTTTTATTTGAGGAGCTATCCCTCTTCTGTTTGTGGACATTCTTTCTTTGAAGGACTACCCAGTTCAAGTCTGGTTTAAAGATAAATATCCATCAGAAGGTAGAGTAGGAGGGGCCTTAAAGCCGCCTGTCCACATTTAGCACATTCTGCAGACCAGACTCCCCTTCATGGATCATTGTCTTGCCATGGCGAAGGGACTTGTGTAGTGCAATGAAGCTATGAGCTATGCCATGCAGGGGCACCCAAGATGGACTGGTCGTAGCAGAGAGCTCTGACAAAAGGTGATCCACTGGAGGAGGAAATGGCAACCCACTCCAGTATCCTCGCCATGAAAACCCCATGGACAGTACCAAAAGGCAAAAAGATATGATGCCGGAAGATGAGCCCCTCAGGTTGGAAAGTGTCCAACAGATGACTAGATGGAGTCACTGGGGCAGTGGGTGTGAGCTTGGGTGGACTCCAGGGTACAGTGGAGGACAGGAGAGCCTGGAGGAATGTTGTCCATGGGCTCACGATGGGTCGGGTGCAACTTTGCGACTAAACAAACAAGCAGACCAGACTGAGCAGTCCCAGAAGTCACCTTGTTACAGTCTTCCCTACTGTGGTGGGAAGGAATTTATTGCTATTGAAACTGTAGCATTTATTTCCAAACACGCCAATTGATGTCCTTTTTTTGTCCTGTTTTTTGGTGATGCATTTCCTCATTCCAGGCAATGCATAAGTAGGTACATTGCCCTCAACATGCTCTTTTTCTGTGTTGGAACCTGACTGCATTGATCTGTAGTGTAGACATGACCCACCTTTATTTCCTTGGATTCCATTGTATGGAAATGGGTGGGGGGACAATGACACACAGCAGGTGTGTATTAATTGATTAATGGGATCAGTGGTCAGCATTAGAGACTCTTACAGGGAGGGGCAGAATTCTCACTAATTTTGTAGAGAAATGCAGTCATTACTATAAAAATAGGCTTATTTTGAGTCTTGCTGCATACTGACCAGGAGGGACCTGAAGCTTGTTTGTTTGATGTAACAGTTGGAATTTGTGGATTAAAGGGGAAAGAAACTATTCATTTATTTACGCTCTATACCGCCCAATAGCTGAAGCTCTGTGGGGGGTTTACAACAATCTAAGAAAAGAAATTAACTTTCAGGTGAGTTTGGTGCGGCGGCAGCGGGGGGGGGGGGGGAGGAAAGAAAATTGGGCCAGAGGATAGCTCAGTTTTTTACAGACCTTTGGACAGTTAAACATTACAATTAATATTTGGATTTAATAGTCTGGCCTTTTATTTTAACATATTTTATTTTTAAGGGACCCCCAGACCAAACATATTCATGATGGAGTGAAAAACAGAACACAAAACATAAACTTTTAATACTGCAGGAAGTCCACCTATGAAAAATTAATTCCAAAAGGCTGAAAAGCACCACTGAAATCCCCACGCTGCGCTTGATGGTTTGCAGGGATGCCGCGCTCAGTATAAAAGCCAACTGACTGAGAAAAGGAATTACATGTCATTATTTGCTCTAACTCATTACATAAAACCCAGGGCAGCTGTTCATTTCTAGCAAGGAGGCATTTGTTTCTCCAAACAAGCAAGGCTAAAGTGCTAGTAACTCTGGTTTTGCTCATGACTGTCAGGCCAAGAGCTCTTTAACTATTTTCCTCCTGCTGTGGACAACAGTAGACTCGTAACAGATCCATTCATGAACCACCTCATTTGCCCACGAAGCTGTCAAAATTCACTGGCCATCATTTGGCCAGGCACACCCAGGCAGCCTAACCTACCCCAAAGGTTCTTATGTGGACCTAAGAATGAGGAAACCATTGCGTGTGCTGTTCTGAGCTCCTTACAGTGAGGGCAAAGTAGAAATAGGATAGGTAAGGAAATAGGATGTCCTCTGTTTAGGGTTATAAACATGACTGACTCAGCTGAGGGGCAGGTAAGGACGGGTGGTCCTATCACAGCCTCTTTTGCAAAATGCTTGGCAGAAAATACCCAAAGTGTGTAAGAGAGTGCTGATTGGATTAGGGGCTCACTGAAGGATCCAATGGAAAACTTTGTGGACCAAATTTGGCCCTCTCATCTTGTTACATGACAAGGTTGGATGCTTTTAAAATTTTCAAATCCCATCCCCTGCCTAAATGTGCAACACACCAAAACCTTACCTATCACTGTGATGTTGTGCCCAATGCTTTTTTGCATAATGGAATGGCCATTTTGAGCAGAGCATCTGTATTCTCCTGGATCCTCCATACTAGTGGCTTTGACCTGAAACAACGCTGATATGTTTTTTTCTGTCACAGTTTGGTTGCCAACTGGTACGTTTCCTCTGTAGAGAATATACGTAATAGGCAGAGTCCCTCTGTCAGAACGGCACTTTAACTGGAAATACTTCCCCAGCACTATTACCTGGGGGACTGGTCGGGAAAGGACTGGCCGAGAGACAGGAGCTGAAATGAAACACAAGATTGGTGCATGACTAGCTGTCCAAATAATGCAACTCAGAGAGCGCGGCATCCTCTGTGGCAGATGCAATGGTGCCTGCAGAAGGAGGCCGGCATAAAAGAGCCTTGCTCCCACACTCCTCCCCAGCCAGCGGCCCTGTGTGTGCGCACAGCACGGCATCAGCTGCTGCAAGCCCCAGGCCAGCATATGTCACTGCATTTAACCTCCCCCAGTTCTGCACATGGGGGTGGGTTGTCCCCACGTGGAAATGGACTGCAGACAGTATGAATGTGCCCTCAAATCCTTGACACACACACCACATTCAACAATTAGCAGGAGTTGCCCTGGTCAGGCTTTTGTACATAGGTATCCATAAAAGGTAAAGGTAAAGGTTTCCCCTTGATGTGAAGTCCAGTCATGCCTGACTCTAGGGGGTGGTGCTCATCTCCGTTTCCTAGCCGAGGGAGCCAGTGTTTGTCCGCAGACAGTCTCCGTGGTCATGTGGCCGGCATGACTAAACACCGAGGTGCACAGAACGCTGTTACCTTCCCACCAAAGTGGTACCTTTTCATCTACTTGCATTTGCATGCTTTCAAACTGCAAGGTTGGCAGGAGCTGGAACGGAGCAACGGGCACTCACCCCGTTGTGCAGACTTGAACCGGCGACCTTTCAATCTACCAGCCCAGCAACACAATGGTTTAAACCACTGCGCCACCAGTAGTCCCGCAAGTATCCCTGCAGGTATCCATAGCCAGGTGCAATAGCTAGTCCTGGGGGTCCCAAAACTATGTTGTCATAGTTATGCCCTTGTGCTTCTATTCACAGGGTGTAGTCCTGCTCACTACCATCTTCTGGAGAGCACCAAGGACTCACCTCCTCAAGTATTATTTTCTTTTTATGTAGCTCCAGCCACTGGGGCCCCTCTGGACAAGACACACACCGGTTTATCTGCTGTGGCTTAACAGCCACCTAGGTACTTACGTGCCTCCAGCCACTCCCCTCCTGCACACACATTCCACTCAGCCCCAAGGAAGTCCCCAAGAGGATGCAACATGCCACTCCAGCACCCTCACGGCTGGTGTTGTAAAACCCTTCTAGCCAAGTGTACTTTCGCACACTGAAGAGCTTCCAAGAACCATGAGCAACGTGACATCTGACATATGGGAAATCTACATTTTGCCGACACTTTTTCAAATAAAACAAGAGACCATGTTATCTCTCAGTCAACTTACCATAAACATATACCTGGATGGGTTCACTTTTCTTGGTAATCCCTTTTACCTTGGCCTTACAAATGTAGCTTCCACTGTCTCCTACATGGGCTGTTGTGTTATAGACACTGGAATTTACCAACACTTTGTTGTCCTGTAGGAGGGAGAAATGTATTTGCTCTGGCCCATCGGCTTGACACTGAATTTTCAACAGGCTGTTTTCATCCAAGTGTCTTTTCTGAAGAATCAGTTTTGGTTTAGAAAACAGTTCTGTAAAATATATGAAGGAAACATAAACTGACAGTCTTTCAACAAGAATTGTGCACTGCTACCCAGGAATGGTAGGAAGTTCAATAAACATTCACATGAATTAAGTATTTCTGTTGTAGGAATATCACATTTTCCCATCATTCAAGAATCAGCAGTTTTGATACAAGAACAATTCTGTTCCCATTTCATGTGTCCAGTAGTGTGGCCTGTGTGGAATATAACTCAACAAGGCTCTTGCACTCTTAATTAGATAGTGCCTGTGACATCAGTGGTGCTCCAGTGACGGAGCCTCTGTGAGGACATTTTTTACATTATATGGATACAAACTTCGCTATTTTTCTACCTGTATTATATGACTTTAAGGCTGCAATCCTATGAACACTTAGAGGGCAATCCTATGGTCCCTGTGGAGCATCCCATATAGCAAATACAGTTACAGTCTTGAAAGTGGCAATGCAGCAAGGAATCTTTCACACACACATGCATGTGTGTGCGTGCACACCCCTCAGCTACTGTGGAAAGCCCCAGTTCGGCTTCTCTTACAAAGAAACAAGAGTTGGGCAGGGCAGATGAAAAGGGTTCCAGTGGACCAACAAGGGGACAGAATCAGGGCTTCAAATCCTCAAAATCCAGGAGCCTTTCCATCTTCTAGCCCCACTGCCAAGTGACTGGGTGAGCTGGGTGGCCTGCAAGGCCCTGTCTAACTGTAAATAGCAAAATGGAAGGCTGTAAAAGCTGCCAAAGTGTGGACCGACAGATGCCTCTGAGATCCAGGCCTTTGTCTGCCCAGCACGAGTTGCTGCGGATTGTGCTGCTAACTGGGCATAATTCCCATGGGACCTAGGGGGAGCTTTTAGATGGATTACCCCATGAGCAATGAATGAGGGCAATTTTAGTCGGCAGGGCTGCTCGTTTATTCCGGTACCTTTACTCATTTGGGCGCTGGTGTGTTTCTGGAATAAGGACGGAGCAGGAAAGGGTTAATGATGGCTCAGTCTTGCCATGCCCCACAATAAGTGGCAGCTTCCGTATTTGTATTGTATTTTAATTTTGCTATGTTTCATGGCTTGTTTGCTATTGTAATTTATTTTTCTCTGTATTTTATATATATTTATATTGCACTGTGAGTGGCCCAGAGAGCCTTCAGCTACAGGGTAGCATACAAATGTGACAGATAGATAGATAGATAGATAGATAGATAGATAGATAGATAGATAGATTCCGTTTCTGGGAGTCCCAGCCTGGCTGCAGTTCGAGAGGCCTGGGCAAAGTGGCCACAGTAATCCTCCGGCGATGCCGGTGCAGGCCCTGCACACGAGCTGAGAGGTGATGTGGCACTGCAGCAGCGTGATGGTACCGCAGTCATGGCAGCAGAGACACTTAGGGGGATGCCTGATGTCTGTGGCAAGCAAGCTGCTCTAGCCCCCCCCCCCCACCATGCATCCATCGTCCAGGTGGGCCCCCCAAAGGTTTGCTTAAAACCCTCTCCTGGCACTGAGGAAAGGATTGGTAGCCAAAGGAGGTGGGCCACCCTTATGTTGACGGGGCTCCTCAGCCATTGCAGCTTTTATTCTTTGCTTTACAGGAGCTATCCATGGTGTTCGGCTCTGCCCCCAGAATAGCTTCAGCAGCCTGCCCTGAGGTTAGTTTTAGCAAGCAACAGCAGCAGCACTGAGCAGTGCATCAGGAGTTGCAGAGATCTGTTAAGCCAGCATGTTACTCCCCCCACCCCTGGCCCGCCAGCGCCTCTGATGTATCCCCACTCCAGAGGAAGCTAGCCAGCCCTACAAATCAGCCATGCAGCTCAGATGTTCAGAGGTGAAAGGACCCTATGAAATGAGGCCATTGTAATTATCATACATAGGAATAGCAAACTGTCAGTCCTTGTGTAGTTACAACAGCATCATCTCTGCATAAGAAGGAGGTGTCTGTGGGCTTGAGTGAAGCCAAGCGTCAAAGAAATACACAAAAACAATCACAGCTGTAGGGGAAAATGCCAGTGGGGAACAAAATCCACTGAGGACTTAGCATGTTCACTAGAAACACAATATAAGTTAACTGGGGAGGGTTGGGGGTAGCAACAGAAATGGAAAACAGAACAGAGAAATGGAATAGAGCTGCTTCACTCCACACTACAACATCTTGCTACAGACCACGCAGGAGCATAATATATTAAAGAGTTATGCCTAAATGGTGGGTCCTGCTCAGGTGTCTACACAGAACCACCTACAGTTCTCGGCTCCTTTCACATACATCAGATAGGCTCCAGATCAGTGCAATACAGTATTTGTGTAGGGTAGGTCCTTTCCAGATGTGCCATGTTCTCAGGGCCTTGCCAATACTGAAGGTAGCCAGCCGTACTCTCATCTTGCTCAACAGCAAGGAACTAGACTCTGAAAAGTAATAGGTACTGCTCTGTTTAGCAGGCGAAGAGGGAAGAGCAGGTATATCACGTCAATGGTTTTCCTAAATGAGGCTGTTAATCTGCTGCTCTGTTTCCAGTTCCATCAGAGAACTGAGATCTGACTGTACCAGGAGCATTTCCTTTCCTGCTTTTTTGCTACAGCATTGTGGTTTAACAGTATAGCACAAATGCACAAGTAAAGGAGGTGTTTTCTTTCTGCTATAAGAAATAACGCCTCATTTCCTTGCTCTAAAAGACTCACCGGAATGGAAGGGCCATGACATCTACTAAAGGACCCATAAACAACCATAAACAGAGAATGGCACGGGGCCCTACTCCCATATGATGCTCCTTTGCTCTCAAATCTCCCAAATCCAAAGCAGCTGATCATATACAGGTGATTCACTTGTTACAGAGGCACTCTGAGCAGAACTGTCACCTGATGCTCCAGACTTCCAGATGACAGGTTTTAATTCGTCAAAAACTGCACACTGTAAGCCCATTCTTAGTACAACAACAACAGCAACCACATCAACAAATAAGTAAAAATAAAGAGGCAAATGTCAGCTGTCTGAGCACAAATGAAGCTGAGAAAAGTCTTACCAGATATGTTAACATTTACTGTGCCAGTTTTGGACACGCTCGAAAGTTCAGCTTTGCAAATATATTCACCATGGTCCTCTTTGGTGACTACCTTGCAGTATTTCACAGTCTCTCTGCCCTTTGTGCTGTTAAGAATTGTTCGGTCCTTCTGGATGATTATTTCAATTTGATCTGGGCGGAGCAGGACAGTTTTGCATTCAACACACATTTGATCTCCTTCTGTAATGTTCTGTGGTGGCTGGATATTTATTTCAGGTTTGGAAAATGGTTCTGCAAGAAGGGGAAATCACACATAAGTAAATAATGTATAGAAGGGTATTCTGGGACTTACATTAGGTATTTGAACAGTCATTTCTACTAAAAACACTTCTACAAATCCAGGAGGAATTTTTGAACATATTTACTTGATTTAAAATATGATTTCGAAAAGGAAACACACCAGAAGGGAATAGGAAGAGATAAGAATAAAAGAAGAGCCATGCTGGATCAGACGGATCTAGTCCAGCATTCTGTTCAGACAGCAGCCAACCAGCTGAAACCCACAAGCAAGACGCGAATACAACAGTACCTGCCTGCCCATACCCAGCAACTTGTGTACCTAGGTGTACTGCCCCTGATACAGGAGCTAGGACAGAGTCATGAGGGCTGGTGGCCTTTGAGAGACTTCTCCTACATGGAGTTCCCTCTCCTTTTCAAGCCATCCAAAGTGGTGACCATCAAAATGTCCGGTGGCAGTGAATGCCATAGTTTAACTATGTGCTGTGTGATAAAGTACTTCTTTTTATCTCAGCAAAATCTCCCATCACAAAATGGGATGACGTATGAGATGGGGGCTTGTGAACCCAACCTGTGACTCAACCCAAATTCATTGACATTCGGATAGTCAATGAAGTCCTGGGTGAACAGCATCCCATCAGCAATCCTGCTCTGAGGTGTGCCTTCCATTAAATACCTGGAGCCCCACACATACGTACAGAGGGCTCCATCCATATGACCCACACCATAGCTGCATTCCTGATTATCTGGGCAAGAGCTCTCCCATCTTACAGCTGCAAGCTTAGGGGCCCCATGAAGGGGTTCTAATAAGCTTCAGCTTCTTCTCTGTACATGTTTACAAAGCACACAGAAGAGCTTCATGTTATTGCCTGTCTAAGTTTAGAAGATACCCACTAAATGCCACTGCTGTTAGGCTTAGAAAGAAGAAAGAAAGCTAAGAAGCTGTAATGTATAAATACTGCAGGTGCAACCCAACATACACGAGTGAACTTCCACCTGAGCAATGGGAATTTTCCTCCCGCTGCTCCCCATCTCTCTCAAGCCTGCATTGGAGAGTCCCTCAGCCCACTGTGGCAGACTGGGAGGGCTGCAGGAGGAAGAGAAATTTGATCTGGGACATGCAGTGTCCCCTGGCAGAAGGACATTATTGGGTACAATAATGGTTAACAAAGTAGAAAATAATGACGTGTTAGGAGGACAAAAGATGTCACCGACATAAGAATCAATAACCCTAACAAATAATTAAAGAGTGACGAGAAGAAGGTAAAAAATAACTTACCATGAACAGTAACCATTGTTTTGTTACTGGGGTTTGATCTCTCATTCCCTGACACTGTGAGAATTTGAACAACACATTCAAAATACAAAATTCTGTCGCCTACATCAATTAGGAATTCAATCTCTGCAAAGTTTTTATTCTCTGGTCCTCTTATCTTCTCCTTTGTTTGCATATGTTGAGACTGTGGGATTTTATAAAATATGAAATGAAATGGTGGGGTTTCTTCTGGCACTTCACAGCGTAAAAATACTTTTTCACCTTCCTGCACTTCTGTTTTCTGGACAGTCAGTTTTGGCTGTCTTATTCCTTTTGAAAAAAAACAAAAACAAAACAAGCACAAGATATTAATCAGAATGTGCTCTTCTGCAAAACAAACTAGACATTAATTTAACTTCCTGTAATGAGATTCCCTCTGTTGTTTTCTTTTTAGAAAGTAGATGTGGGGAGCTAGATACAGAACCTTCCTTATGACATTTTTGCACCAAAGATTGTTTCTCTTGTAGATGCTTTTTGCCGTTAAAGTGTTATTTGCAGCAAACTGCAGTTTTGGTGACAAGCAACAGCTAATGAGTGGATGGATTGGTAGGAAAGTGGAAAGTGGGGGCGGGAGGGCTGAGAAAATCCTTCTGTACCTCTTGCCCAGTGTGGACTGGAGGTTTGGGGCATGGCTGTTACTCTAAAGGGAACAAGTATGGAGAAAGCTAGGGATTTGCCCACATGACCTTTCAAGCCTTGCTTTCCCCGATTATAACCATAAGCCCAGGAAAATCCAGTAATCCAGTAATCCACTGGACACATTTATATCTCGCTTTTCATTGCTAATTTTAATATAACTGAAATTGTTATAGAGGTATTTCAATAGAATTTGAGCATGACAAAGAGGAGGGGGTTCCAACACAACCCTCAAGGCCAGGCTGAGGGAATCGCTGAACCACTTTTGCTCCTGGTATACGCATATAGGCTAGCACAGGGAACGGACATGTCCCCCTACCAAAAATGGCCGGGGTGTGTGTGAAATTCTACCCCACCAACAAAGGCAACAGAGTCCTTGCCCTCTCTTCAGCCAATTTTTGGCAGGAGGGCCTTTTCTCATCCGATGCAATTGTTCTATGGGGATAGGGTGAGGAGAGATAAAGAGAAAAAGACAGATAGTCAGACAGAAGAAATTAATGCTGGAAGTCCGGAGACCTCTGACATAGATGGAGGGAGGAAAGGCCCTTCATAGAACAAGTCACCTAGAAGTATGTCAGAACCCACCTTTCCAAGCTGAAAACATTATTTCTAGTTTGGCCCTAGCTAACCATGCTAACTATTCATCTTTTAAAGGGAAGAGATAATCCAGTTAGCAATTACCAGAGCAGAAATAACTGAAGGCAGGCTCTCTCTGCCTAGATAGAGGCATAGCTGGGCCACCAGCTGAAGCTAGTAGAAGGCACTCCAAGCCACCAAGGCCAGCTGGGCCTCAAGTGAGAAAGTTGGATTAAGGAGCATGCCTAAGTGAGGAACCTGCTCCTTCAGGAGGAGTGCAACCTTGCCCAGAACAGGTTGAACACCCCCTTCCCCTGCCCCATCCAATCAAAAGAACTGTCCACCAAAAGTGTCTGGTCCAAGAATGGATCCCCAGGAAACAAGAGCCCAGACTCTGTGCAGATTTGGCCATGCCATTTATTGATGTGAGCCGCCCCGAGGCTTCGGCGAATGGGCCGGCATAGAAGCTTCCTAAATAAATAAAGAAAGAAGAAACAAGCAGGAAAGTGAAGCTTTTAATTTACTGTACTGAGGGGCAGGGAGGGAAAGTATGTGCAAGCCAAAAGCTCAGCAGGGTTTATAGGAAATGGGGCCTTTTTGTGGTGGTGACACTGCCTCAGTTATGAAACAATCGCCACAGAGATATTCAGTGGTATGCTTATGACTGAGTTTTAGGTCAAAAACATTTTTCCCACCCAGCCTTTAAACAGGTTATAGGCTGTTAATCAACTGTATCTATTTCCAGTATCACTGGAGAACTGAGATCTGACCACTATACAAGAAGCATTTCCTTTCCTGCTTTTCTGCTACATAACCTCTAGGCGACACTGTGGAATAGGAAAACAATGCAAATACACAAAAGGAAAGAGTGCTTTTTGTGTGAAATGCTGTATTTTCTCTGCCATAAAAAAGTCACCAAAGGTGCAGCTAGATACATGATGTCATCTAAAGAACCTGTAAACAACTGTGGGTGGGGGTTGACAAGGACACAATATTTGCCTCATATAGAAAATCCTAATCAAATTATACTGGATAGCAGATATGAAAGGACAGAAGAACAGAAATAAAGCTGGAGCTCATTGGAATAAAATATAAAACCAAGAAAATGATTATGAAGTTTAAGAAGGATATAGTGAAGAGTACAGGATCAGCAAAGAGTCAAATTCTAACACCAATGGAGACTGAAAAGCTAAGAGAAAAAAGAATAGTTATAAGCATACCATTACATAAAGGCACAGGGAGAATATAGTGGTTTTTTATATCTATAAACATTTGCATTATTTTAGTCATATTCTCTAGGGGATGGAGAAATCCCTACCTTTTACTTTAATAGTCAAAGGTTGGCTGGATTTTGTTTTCCCCTCAACATTCAGTGTACACTCATAATTTCCTGAATCAGAAAATCTAGCCCTGTGAATGATATATTCTATCTGGTTTCGCTCTGATGTTTTATTGAACAGAAATTTGTCATTCCTGGAAAATGAAAATGTATAATTCAGCTGGAAATGTTCGCTCTTGCTGATGTCCACAGTACAGTACAAGGTGACTGGCTTTCCATTCTCCACTTGTTCAGATGGATCAGCACGGAGTATAATGTTATTGATGGTGAACACTGGAAAGGAGGAAAAATGTGGGTCAGATGTTTTGTAATACTCCAGCAATAATCCAGTGACAGAAGTAGCTAGGTGAGGTTCATGGCTAGCTTCTGTGGAATTCATGTCACCACTACTTGGGTATCAGCCATTTAAAGAAATCTGAGTTGGTTAAGCAATATATTTTACTTGAAAACTCTCAAACAACTGATTAAATCTGCATAAATTTGCATCTGAAAGACCCACATGACTAAAGCAAAGGTCATACTTTCTTTGATTACAGGTGATACATGCACATTTTGTATAAAGCAGCATCTTAGAAGAGTTATTCCCTCCTGTGAAAGAGAAGGAAGGAGCCTCTGAAAAAATTCCACCTGTCACCTGGATGAGTACTTCTATTAGAAAGAATTACAACTTGGGGGCAGGGGGAAAGCAGCTGGTTCAGTGTACCTTATTTATTGACCAAAATATTCATGCACTGCTAAGGGCACGATACTTTGCATACTGAAACAGAGAAAGAGCCTACAGTTCCCAGCACACCCTAGGCAGCCACTGTGTGTTTCTTGTACACATACACACCAGAACCTGCTTCTCCTGATGCTTCCAAACACTCACAGGTATTTAGAATCCTACCTCCCAAAGGAGGCTAGTCTAAATCAGTAAAACAATTTACTGGTTCGTATAAATGAAACATTTGCAAAAGTCAAATCAGCTAAATGAGTTGATCCTTGCCCCTGCTTTTCTGACAGAGGACACTGCTAGCAGCATCCTGCCACCTGCAGTAATTGTAGGGTAAATATTGTCCTCCTAGAAACTGGTTGCTGGATTGTTGGTCTGGTGGAAAGATGTTCTGGTTTCCTCATCCAGCTAAAGAGGCTACAACTTGCTCCCTGCAACTGCGGGCCGTCCAAAAGCCTCCCCCTGGTGCTTTGACTGAACAGGAGATATGACCTTGTCAGTGAGTAACTTTATGATTAGTGGAGACCTGCACTTTTCTCGTGGACTTAAAGGGATTACTTCTCACTTCTGCTGTGGATCTGGATCTTGGCTTGTTGCTGAGTTGCTTCAGAAAAAGTACAGAGCAAAGTAAGCAGCTACAATTCATGAGAAATGGAATATTCCTCCATGGCTGCACTAGCAGATAGGACTGTGGCTCTAAAGGGAGGCAGTAGCTTTTCTAAAATCAAGAGATTTCTGCCTTGCTTCCTTTCACTCTTTTGCTGGTTTCTTGACACCCATGTCAGTTTCTCCCATGCAAGGCTGTTTATTCAGGATTCAAAAGTAGCTATCTTGGGCCTGTTTTCTTGAGATACTAACCCATCTCTTCATAAAGAACTTTCTGTTGTGCATACAGCCATGGCCCTTTCCTCACCCACCTCTGTGCTTCTCAATCAAAAGGGAACAGTTGCTTGTCAGAACAAGCAAATGCTCATGGTCCTATAAGAGCCCTGATCATGACAGGAGTGGTTGGCTGTCTTTCAACTTCCCAATTCACCTCTGAAAGAGGTAAATAAATCTGAATTGAAAGGGGTTGCTTAGGGCCACCTTTGCCTGTACCCATCTCTCTGCACTTTGAGGTCGTCAATGAGACCAAAGCTTCCCCACCCCCACAATCATGAAAAAAGGCTCTTACACAGGCAAATTTGCCAATTTGGATGCTGATCCCCAAGGTCACGCTGTGGGACCCTACAGCCCCTTAGCCCTATCAAGGAGAAGGCCTTGTGCAGCTATTCCATCTTTATTTCCTTTACCGGTTTTCTGTGGGGAAAAAAAAACTCAGAAGAAGCAGTGGGAAAATATGGGAGGGTCATGAATGGAAGACAACATTATCTGGGCCCCGCAGAATTCCATGAACGAGGCAGGGCCTTGGCATGATAAAAGCCTCATTTAGAAGCACCCTTTGTCCCAACCCCATGTGTCCAGTCCTGCTAAACGGAAAGCAATTTCTGTGTGTGTGTGTGTCTTTCTGATTCCCTCTCTCCTCATTCAAACCACAACAACCTTTTTCTTCCTATCCCAAGAGCTAAAGGACTGTTCAAAGGCCATGTATGCAGATATGTGTGTGTGTGTCTGTGCGTGTGTGTGCATAGATGTAGAAACTTCCAGTCATCAGCTTCCATTGAGAAAGCATCACCTTCATCTCTATTAGCAAGCTATCAGCATAGCAATGGATGGTTTCCTGACAGACATAAGACTATTACCTTTTTTTTAATTCTATAGGTAATTTGGCAACAACACAGTTGAAAAAATGCTTTCAGTGTGTTGTTAAAGCAGGGACAGGCAACTTGTGGGCTCTCCAGATTTTAGGCCTACAAAGTTGCTTTGTCCACAGTGCCGCCTATTTCCCCAGCACAAGCAAGCTGTGGGAATGCTTCCAAGAGTTTGAGGTGGAATGTTTTCAGATTTAAGCCATTTTGACAACCAAATCAAGACTTTATACCAATTTGTGCAGTTTATACCAATTTTACTAACATGGTTGGTACATTAATCCATGGTTACTTTTGCTGTGAAATTGAATCTGTTCTTTAAAACAAATGTAGTAGAGCAGGTTGCCATGTCTATATTGTTATGTTGAGAAGATATTTGATGGTCTGGACCTGGAAACAACAAGCTACATGCAACAGAGTGAATAATCAGCTGAATCCAGCACTGACTTAAGCATATGAGGCCCTCCCCTCCCCTCCCCTCCCCTCCCCTGCTTTAGCCCTTCACTGGTACATGCTTATAGTCATCCAGAATGTAGACTCTTGCCTGGCCAATGTCCTGGTTAAGTATCTGTAGTTAAAGCATGGCTGTCTTCTGGATCTATCTGACATGACAACCTACTGTGAGTTCAACAACCCCTACAAGAAGCCAAGAAGCCTTAGTTGCACCAACCAAGCCACCATGTGCAAAGTGGTCTAGGTTCACACAACATGACAACCCACCTTGGCTAGTTATCCGCAATGGGTTCTCACATCATGTGATCCCTGTCCCTGTTAGCAGTCAAAACACTAGGATGTTTTTATTTTCAGCATAGGATGATAAAATGCAAAGGGACCAATTGCACTGATTGTAAACGGCATGTATTGCTTCTTAGGAGTAACTTTTTATCCTCCATTTTCTATTTTCACAACTAATATTATTATTGACATACATAAACTGCATTCATTTCACTGGGTCTCTTGGAATCTTAGTTCTATTCCATGTAGAACTAAGATTGGATATGGCTGTTTAATTTTTGTATTGCTGTCAACTTTTAAACAATAGATAAAGACGATGAACTTATTGTTGGTGGCTTATCTTGCACACACATAAAAAGCCATGTGTGCCAACTGTGGCCTTAACTATTTGAGGTCTACTAGAAGAATTCAAAGTGGTTCCAGCACTTTCCCACTCCTTGTGGAGAATGTTTCGCTCCCCCAGGACAACCCAAAGTGGGGGAAGCAACGGTAGACTGCCTGCATCACTTCTCCTCTTGCTGGATTCACAGGTACATGGTGGAGTTGGCTATAGTCAGTGCTTTTTTTGTAAAAAAAAAAAAAAAAGTGCCGTAACTCACGTCATGGGGTCACACTTTTAGACTAAAAAAGATTTTCAATTCACCAACTTTTTTTGAAATAAAGAACTTATTTACCTTTTGCACATAGCCAGTCACTCTACACACACGTAAACATAATGGTCGCCGCCGGCAGTAAGCACTCAGTGTGCAACCACATGACCGATCCCAAGCCGAGCAGTGTCCCAAGCCGAGCTGCACCCTCACAATCAGCACCGACACACAAGCAGCCTGCAGGCACTATGTTAATGATTTTTGCCGCCGACCTGCTGCACCCAACAGGGCGATTCACAATCACTTGGAAAAATCTGTCAAAAAGAGGTGCCGGAACACTGTTCCGGTGCATTCTATGGCAAAAAAAGCCCTGGCTATAGTGGATCGGTTTCCAGCTTGCTGCAACCTGCCAACCTGCCAACCTATGCCTGACATTCCCCCCACACTGGAGTTGCTTTGTGTCTTGTTCCTTCTGAACTTAGTATGGAGGAGGAGTAGAGGCAGAGCCGCCTCAGGCAAGATGTCTCAGTGGGCCCCCTCCTCAATGCCTCTGTTTGTTCATTGCTGTCACCAGTGACTGCGGCTGCTTTTCCTGCTCTTTCTCATCACTGGTCCCACTGGCTTGCTGGACAGGCGAGAGAGTCCGGGAGCAAGTGGCCGTGGCATCTGCTGAGCCTCCTTCTCGCCACTGTCTCCTGGGCCAGAGTGAGAGGCCGGTGAAGAAGCAGGTTGCAGCAGTGAAGAGAAGCAACTCTGGGATCCTCTTGACAGCAGGCTCCTGCTGGGGTAGGGGCTATCAGGAAGTATCCAGTTAAGCCTATATTGGCCACTGGCCCTGAGTAGAGATTTGGTGAAAACAGCTGACTGCTGGTTGATGGGACTGAAAGAGGACACTGCTTGGTAGCCCAGTGAGATCTTGGGGTGGAGAAACAGAATAAGGGAGCAGCCGAGAGATGGGATGCAGACCTTGTTAGTCTGCAGTGAGAGAAAGAAAACAACATGCGTGCTGTGAGGGGTAGCAATGGAAAGAGAGAGTGTCAGAAGAGAGAACCTGCTTGTCCTCATTAATTTCATCCTTCACTTCAGCTCATCCCTTGCTAACAAACTTACACACCCCTGCCCCTAAAGCTGCTTCTCTCCAGCATCCACAGTTGCAAACCTCACAGCAGTTAAATAAAGAGGAAATGGCTTAAATTTCATAGCAGAGCAGTAAAACTGAGGGAGAAATTAGTACTATAAATAAATAAATAAATAAATTTCTTGCAGCGGTTATTCATTTTCATGCACTTGCCCAGGACCGAGGGTGGGGGGAATTATGAATATGTTTGGGGTCACTCTCTAGTGTTCTTCCTTCAGGACTGCTTTGAAACAAACCATCTTTGAACTGAGAATGGCTGTGAGAGCACTGGAGATTTTGCAAGAAGCAGCAGTGAGTTTCCCTCTTCTTGACAGCTAGTTCCTGGCAATACATGATGGAGTTTTGTTTGGATGCGACAAAAATCCAACCTGAGAACAATACATGATGAAGTTTTGTTTGGATGCAACAAAAATCCACCCTGAGAACAACAACCCTACTAGAAGCCATGGGTTGTCAGGGTGGATTGTTCTCATAAATCTACCCATGACAGGATGTTCACTCTTAGCCACATTAACCCACTGTGTGGAGATTCACAGTAACATCCACGCGTGGCCTAGTGTGGCGTGTGAACCCAGTCCACATTTTTCTGCAGTGAACAAAGCAATATGCCCCCACTTCCCGAGCATATTGAAATGAAGACGTAGTGTTTTACCTGCCAGCCTCACCTAATCTGATATGATCCGTGATAACACCGTTATAATTGATGGATTGTCCAGGCTAGAAAGCCTGTTTGCAACAACTCGTACTGCTTTCCTGCAAAGCTAAGCCAACGCACCCTGTTGACATACTTCTTTCTCAGCCCATTGAAAGACACTAACTGCAATGCAGAAGTTCCACGAAGAGGACCCCCAGCTGGTTTTCAATGAACAGCTAAGTGCACAGGAAAGGGTGGGGGGTCAGAGCATTCCCTTTTTCCCAAGTGTTAAGAACAGTGGTGGAGGGGTCCAGCTCACACTGGAGCCACATGCAGGGAGGGTAGCTTATGCTTTTGCTGCCCACCATTTCACCTGACTGAAATCATACTTGTGAAACAAAAGACAAACAGGTATCCTTATGATACCTGTTTCTTTGCTCTGCTCAGGAAACGGCACCCTGAGGAAGGAAGGTTACGGGTGATCTTAAGCTGGAAGATGGTGGAAGAAAGCGTTAGAGCACCTCTCTTCCAGCACTGCTGTCCCAGACAAAATAGGGCTCTCCAGTGCCAGTGACTACTGACACTTTTGCAAAAAAGAAAAGTGAAAGACTTGGACTTATAAAGTCCAAACATGACACGATCCATGTTTAGATCGAAAAAGATCCGATAGGAAGTTCGGGGGATGTGAAATGTTTTTTTCTGTGGAAACACATAGGATTGAGCCAGTAGTCCACTTTAGCCATTACTGCAAGCAAAGAAACCCAAGCAGAATACAACCAAGAGCTTTAGTTTTATGGATTATGATTCAGGATAATTACCCTGAGTATTTGCATTACAATAGGAAATCAACATTGATATCAACAGGTATTATGTAATCTTATACTAGGAGGGAAGAGAGAAACATGTATTATCCTATGTATCCTGTTCAAAAGTTATAGAACTTGTGATATGTAGCATTTTACCTTGACCACATTCTTCTCTTTGTTACATGCATGAAATTTCCCTAGTCTACCCCAATAACCCTGAAAGTCTTCATTCTGGGAAAATGTGCATTTTCAGATTTTGCAAACTCACCATTATCTTGGGCTTTCAGCTTGCAACCTGAAAAAAGTAAACAAACAAACAAGGGGGAACATCATTAAATAAATCAATATAAGAAGAACAATTTATTTTTATTTTTAACAGAAATATTTGGTTTGAAACTTACACTGTAAAAGGATCAACAGCAACACACAATACATCCCGTCCTCGGAAAGCGGATGTAAAATTCCGGAATAAAGAAATGTTCATTTGTCCCAGTAGTTTCCTCCTCAAAGGACTTTCTACCACAAAGTGCTTTCAGTTCTTCTTCTCAGAGTGCACAATCCAGCAGTGCAGCTTCAACACCGAAGATAGAGCACATGAGTGTTTTTACAGGACCCGAGCACCACACACGGACTGATATTGGTCAAATAATCATTCCCATTACTGGAAACTGGAAGTGGCAAACAATGAGGATCTATCTACTGCACACAGGCAGATTACTGCTCAGGAAGTGACTGGCCTTTTCCTGAGGGAGTCAGTGAACGCATTTGCTTTGTTCAGTTTCTTAAGGTACATTGAAAACAAGAAGTACCAATGACATTTTTCCGGTGACTCTGTTCAGTATTTTAAAGTCACTCTTCAAATGTTTAATGTACAAAAGAACAATACACTGCAATACATTTTAATTCATTGCAAGAACACACTGCTAGAGCTCAGATGTGGGTGGCTTTCTTGTGATCAGCTTGCACGAAACAGCGTGAAACTTTACACAGGCAATGATAGCTGAAGATGCTTGCCCAAGTGACGCTAAGCACACACTTTCCTCTATTTTTTTTTTTTAATTGATGATGCTTTGTGAGCACGCATGGGTCAAGGGTGGCCATTTTTACTTAAAATCCCTAGCAACGTATTATTTGAATTATATGGCGTGTATGTGTTCTCTTGCTCTTGCATTCAAAGATTATATTTAAGATAAATGTTCATTTTAGAAATTCTCATCCTGACTTTTTAGTGCCTGTTTGCATCACCTGAGGTGTTTTATAAGACTTTAAAATCACAGAGTGATAAAATACAGTGAACGTACAAGAGCAAATACCACAGATATAACATAGTCATTACATAAAACAAATGCTTAGCAATCAAAAGCCTGTTAAGCTAAAAAGTGTCTCTACTAAATATCACCAATTGTTACTACTCTTCCTCTCCCTCTTCCTCTTATTCACTCCTATTATTTTGTCAAAGAGAATCTCAGCTCTTGCACTCAGACAACTGCAAGAGTGTTATTTTTAAGGGCTCATCAGTCTACATTTAAGTACACATGATTTTAAAGATGAGACTTCATTTCTGCTTAAGTGTGCTTAGGATTGCCCCCTAAATGTGCTACACAGCATCTGAGCAGTCAACTACATGCAGAGAGTTAAGCATCTCTTGGGAAATGAGAGTGTTTAAACATGCTACCAGTTTCCTGGAGTATTTTCACAAAACTCTCCCAGTCATCTGTATGGGAGATGAAGCTTTCAGAGATGAAACTTGCAGCTGTCCACTCTCCATTGTCGCTGCAAGCTAATAAACCAGAGCACTGCCTGCTTGCCTAATGCAGAGCTTTAATTTCATGCTTCAGTTTAACCCTTTTAATCTAATTACTCTTTTAGTCCTACTTTTAACTCAATCACTTTGGGATCTGTGGACATATTTGGGATTTGGAGAAGGGCTGTTGACAGCACCACAAAATGGCTCCCATGGATGTGGGTAATCACATCATGACTGCCGTAGAGGCCTGGCTAGTTGCAAGCAGTGGAGAGAAATGGAAAGGCTACTGGCTGGTTGGGGGGCGGGGGAGAAACAGCAAGATAAAGTGGTGGGAAGAGAAAAAGCAAAGCTAGAGGGAAGCTCTGGGAAAGAGCGGCAAAGGAAGGAGTTGCTTCCTGGCCACTAGGATGCTGTGCATCCACAACCAAAAGAAGAGTTCATAGAGTTTCAAAAGCTTTATGCAAGTGAAACTCCAGTATCTTTGTTTAATTTAAAAATATTCCCAAACAACTAATTATTAAAGATAATATTTATGCCATGTACAATAGGAAAAGGAAATGAAAACAACTAGATGGATCACATCAGTAACAATGCGGTACTGGGCACAATTATTTTCAATCAGTGGGAAAAGTCAGAGTAAAAAGATGTGCCTTCAAATGACATAAAAAGAAAAGGAGAGCTCATAGGGTTTCAAAAACTTTTAAGCCAGTGAAACCCCATTATCTTTTGTTCATGAGCATTTCCCTCCACTTGCTTCCACACCCAGCATATAGCCTGGATCAGAGTGTGTTTGTTTTAGCTGAGGTAATTTTTTCCACAGGCTCTGCTAACAAGGGTACTCCCACTCTTCAGCTACTCCATGATCATTTGGGAACTCTAGGTGCAAAGTTTCAAGTCAGCCTCTTCAAATCCATAACATGGCCTCCAAAAATCAACCCGAATTTGAAGAAACAGAGATAGGCTACAAGAAATTAAAAGAAAATGATGGAACAGGCATAAGATAATGTAAAGAACGAAGAGAACTGTACCAGTTGTCCGAGGCAATAATGTTTGCACAGAAGTGATCATTTATGTTCTGTGTGTTCTGTACTAGGTTGGCAAGATTATTATTATAACATTTCTATGCCACCCCTTGCCGAAACCTCGGGGCGGCTTACACTTAAAACATTAGGAAAATTAGTCAGTATTTTAAATGATATCCAGCCTGATTCACTTATGCTTTCTTTTAATTCCCTAATGACACAGACCCCTTGGATGCACACTTTAACCTGATGAGGGGGGTTGAGAGTGTCTGAGAAGCTGAGAGCAATCCTGCCAGGAGGCCAGACTCATTTCACAGAGATGTACCTCCCTCTTCAGGATTAATGGTCACATCAGCAGAAGAGGAAGGATCCCTCTAATGGTGACGGGGGCAGATAAACTTCTTGAGGGCAGCTGCTGGGCAGCAGCGATAACTGAAGACAGCACTGTCCAAGGATTTTTCACAGACAACAGCAGTGATGCTCAGGCCAACTCCCGTTACTACTGCACAGAGAAAAGCAGCGAACCCACTTCTGAACCCTTTTACCTTGTAAACCCTATGGAACAATCCCAAATGAAACAAGAGACAGTGTCAGAAGATGGGACTCCCAGGTCAGAAAGCACTCAATGAGTTGCTGGGGGAGAGCAAAGGACAAGCACAAATAGCCCTGTCACCAATGATGCACCTAGATCAAAACCAAAAAGCGGCCTATTTGCTGGTATGTATAGAAGCGAAAGAAAATGCTGATGCTGCACAGTGCATGCAACTGGAACCTGTAAAAGAAGCCACAACCTCAAGTTTACAAGAGCTGAGCGGGGCTGCTGAGGAAAGGATATTCTGGAGGGCTTTCATCTGTAGGGTGTTCGCAAGCTGGGGATGACTTGATAGCATGTAACAATAGCAACAGTAGAATAACATACATGCATTTTCGCACATATGCGCATTTGAGAGAATAAAGACACTAAGGCTGAACCTGAAACCCATGTTTTACCACAGAGACGGAACAGAACTGGTGTGGTCATCAAGATCCAAAAATAGTGAGCACAGTGATTACTGATGGATAGTGTGAGAAGCAACCCTTCTTTGAACATGGGAGATTATAAATAAATACAGATGGGCCTGGGTACATATGGGTCTTATGTACTGATCACAGCCTGAATCAGCCCTCCTCAGCCAGGTGTCTCATAATCCCTGCCCACCAGTTCTGCTTGTGGGCTGATGGAACTGCAGCACCAAACATCTGGGGGACACTAGCTTGGGGAAGGCTGTCCTAAATGCTTCGGCCATGTCTGGAGAGCAACAGGACATGATTCTGAACATAATTAGCAAGTGATTTCACAAGCAAGTAACCTGAGCAGTTCAGCTGCCTTAACTTGGTAAGTGTGATGCATACAGGACAGAAGACGGAGTGCAGTGGAACAGGTGAGCAGAGATGCAGTAGCCTTTTTCTTTGCAGTAGCCTATTCAGGGCAAGAATAATTTACTGTAATGGCTGTCCAGAGAGTCCAGTGCTACTGGGCAGCCTTCAAACAAATCAAATCAAATAAAAATAAGCAACCTAGGAATCAAAACTGCTGTTTTCCCTCTACCTCTGCTATTGCTGCTAAGTGCTGTAATTCTGAAAGCAGGTGGTAAAAGAGAAGTCTGCATTTCTGAAGCTGCTTGGCAAGGAGAAGGGGCTGGGGCTGGGGTGCAGGGGCGTGCTGTACATTCGGAGGCAGGTGCATGGGCTTTTTAATACAAGCCGTCTGTCACTCAGCAGTTTGGAAATGGGGCAGTGGAAATGGGGAAATGGGGCAAAGCAAGAACATATTGAATCATTTTATGAAATTTTGAAGGGTTTGATGGATCCTTTCTGAGATTGAAGGCCATGCTCCAGTTCATATTCTCACATGGCACAACTGGTTTTCAAGTGTTGCAGGTACTTTATTTATATTATTAAATAATAGCATGCAATTATTATAGTACTATATAAAGTTATAGTGTGTATTAATAGGATGTATTATTATAATATATAAAATGCAATAATAATACAATAAGAGTTGCATTCTTTTAGCTGGCAAATACAGTAAAGAGAATAATTATCACCATCATCATCTCACTTTTTTCTTTTTCTCTTAGTCCTCTTTTTCAGGTTTCAGTGTGGGCGGGATGGGGCCAATGCTGCTTGGAATACAGTTCCCAGCTCTTGATGGACTGTTGCACATAAAGCAATTCAAAGCTGTCTGCAATAGCCACAAGAACAACGCATTAGCACTGCCTGCCAGGGAACTCACCTGCTTGCCCACGCTCAGCGTACATGCATCAAAACAAACAGTGGCTACAAGGCAACCCTGGCTCTGGCCCTGCTGTCTTCTGGCGAGCTAAAGGGAATCTGCAAATGGCTGCCCCGCAACTAGTTCCCTCCAGTCTGGAGGAAGCGAGAAATTGATGGCTGTCACTCCTGCAGCGGCAAGGGTGGCATCTCTTCTCCTGTGATTCGCACGTGGCATTCGGCTGGTTGATAGCAGCGACCTCGGCCCCCCAGAGACGCCAAGTGAAGGTGACAGCTCTGGATTCTTCCAGAAGGGGGCGCCAGTGAGCCACTTTCACAGGCACGCACTGGCCTCATGGGCAGACATGGAGGGGGTTGGCCGGCCCCAACAGAGTTGCGCTGGCCAGAGCCCTCTGGACTTGCCCCTCCTCTTCACCATTGCCTATGTCCAAGGGGGGGGGGTGGCTGGCACCTACTGAGAGCCCCCGTCCCCCAGAGCTGCTTCTGCTCTTCTCTGGAGTGCCCTCCTGCTGGTTCTCCGGTGGCTGGGAGGAGGAGCAAAAAGACTTTTTTCTTTCACTAAAGACTAAGTCGACACGTGACAAAAAGTCACGAGCAGGTTTGTTTCTCAGTCCAACATCCTTGTTTCAGGAACTATTTCTTGCTGCCCAGCCAAATTTTTAACATCCCCTTGATTTTAACATATTGTTTTGATTCTTTAATCTGTTCTAGCTTTTTACTGTTCACCACTGCAGAATCTGGCTAGACATGGAGCAGTTTATACAAATACTGCAAATAAATAAGTAACTGAGGAGCCTGGCATGTGCAGCACGGGCTCCTATTGCTGCTCTCAAAAGGGATGAATTCAGCATGGAAGAGCCTTGTCACGCTGCCGCCTGCTGGGGCTTCTCTGCTTTTTTTCTTTTGCCTTGAGTCTTGCCCTGTGGCTGCGCACTGAAGGCAGAGATAGCTGCACAGGCCAAGCACAGTAGCAGCTGCTCTCAGAAGGATGGCACCCCCGGTGTCTGGGCAGAGGGGGGACCCTTGCACTTCCTCACCTGTGGGAATGGATGCACCTGTCTGCACAAAGGGGTTCCTTTCCTGCTTTTCCTCCTCAGCATCTCTAGGTGGCGCTGTGCTGTAGCAGAACAGTGCAAATGCACACAAGTCATTCTTTCAGAAACAATACCACATTTTTCCTGCTCCCGGGTGTGGCAGGAAGGGATCAGGAAAACAGAAGCAAAACTGGAGGATCACTACTAACAACTGTGAGGAAAGAATCACCAGATTCTGCAGTGACTGGTCCAAGAAGGCCACTGGGTCCAAGCCCCCACTCAATGCAGGACTCCAAGTTAAACTGTCACTCTCAGATGGCTGTCCAGTTGCATCTTGAAAGCTTCTAGTGTGAGAAAGCTCACGAACTCCCTGGGTCATTAGTTCCATTGTCATATTGCTCTAACGGTCAGGAAGTTCTTCCTGAAGTTCAGCCAGAACCTGGCTTCCTGTAACTTGCACCATTATTCCATGTCCTGCAGTCTGGGATGATCAAGAAGTGATCCTGATCTTCCTCTTTAGGTGACAACCTTTCAAGTACTTGAAAGTGTTATCATATCACCCCTCATTCGTCTCTTCTCAACTTAACATGCCTAGTTCTTTCAATCTCTACTCACAGGGCTTTGCTTCCAGTCCTGAATCATCCTTGTTGCCCTCCTCTGAATCATTTCCTGTTTGTCTGCATCTTTCTTAAACTGTGATGCCTAGAACTGGATGCAGTTCTCCAGATGAAGCCTGTGCTGAGTGGAGGAGAACTAGTACTTCCCATGATTTGGAAGTGATACCTCCATTAAAGCAGCCTAAAATAGTATTTGCCCTTTTTGCAGCCATATCACTTCGTTAACACATATTCAACTTGTGATCTACAACAATTTCAAGAACCTTCTCACTTGTAGCATTGTTTAGCCAACTATCTTCACCTTGTAGCCATACATTTGGTTTCTTTTTCCTGAGTGCAGAACTTGGCCTTTGTCCCTATTTCATTCTGTTGCTTTCGGCCCAACTCTCCAACCTATCAAGTGCCATTTGCATATTGTTTATGTCTCCCACCCAATTTTGTATCATCTGCAGATTGATAAGATGATGATCGTCTTTGCCAATCTGCCAATCATTAAAACCACTGAAGGGCCGTGGGTCTGAAATAAGCCCCATAGTGCCCCACTCATGACCTCTCCCCAGTTTGAGAAGGTGCCATTGATGAGCCCTCTTTCAGTCCGTTTCTGTAGCCAGCTGTGGATCCACCTGTCAGGTGTTTCATCTAGTCCACTTTTAGCTAAGCAGGAGATAAGAAATATTATCTATCCAGAGAATGGTGGGTTCCCAGACGGTCACATTCAGAATTCTCCTAGAGTGTAATGCTCTCAAATCCAGTTTGTCCATCTCTAGCTCACGTGCACATTTTACAAATGTCTTCTTGCTCACAGACCATGCTTTTTGCCTGCTTTGTTTAAGATTATTATTTATATAATAATAAATAATTGTTCAGGTATATTTAAGCCATCCTGTAGTCTTTAAAATTTGAAGCACTTGGCCTTACCAGGGCCACTTTCATAAAATGCACAGTACAGATTGTTTAAAATATGCAAACCACAATTAAAATACTAAATGTATCCAACAATATCAATACATAGTAATATCTCGGAAACAGAAATCAATTAAATAATGGAGCATATTAAAGCCATTTCAACAATCATTTAAACCAGTGGTAGGATGATGCATATATTAGAAAAGGTGATTCTGAATCAATCACCCTGGTTTAGACAGGCTGAATGCAGTCATATACCGCAATCATTATAATATCCCAAGAATTCCATAAACATGGGGCCACCACCAAAAAGGCCCTCCTTCTCTCATGGGCACAAAACTAATAGATTTTACCAATGATTACAGGACCTCTGACGCGCATTTAAAGCATGGGCATGAGCCCTTCAAATAACCTGGCCCCAAACTGTTTAGAGTGTTAAAGATTAACATCACTCTTAAAACTCAGCCTGAAAATGCACCACTAAGTGGTGTAACTGAATGCAATACATTCAGATGTTCCAATCATTTTGTGCCCTCCCCTCAACATTTTGCAACCATAAAAGCTACCAAATCATTTTCAAAGGTAACCTCAGCAAAAGCACTTTATACTAGCCTGTCATGGAAAACTTTAGCCCATGGGTAATAGGGACTGATTGGCTTGCAAACCTCCATCCAAAACAGCCATTTTCCCCTGGGCACAGCTCTGCCACCTTTGCTCAGTTCAGCATCATCTCACTCACTGCTCATCTACCCCCAAACCTATCCCTGGTTCAGGATTTCCAGCATCTCCCTGACTTAAATAG